GATGTACTATCTGATTACAGATTTACATGTCTATAAAGTCTCTGATGTTTGTGTTGTGAGGTGTGATTTCATCAACATCTCTTCTGAATGTGTTGCTTGGGGCCACCCAGCTGTGTCTTGATCAAAACACATCTGTGATCTTAAAGAAGCCTTGTCTCAAGTCTTTTTATTTGGCTTTATTGAGACTTGGGAAATAAAAGGTGCCATACAGGTGTATTGAGGACATTCTAATATGAAACTAAAATAATTAAAACAATGATCAATAAATAAAACATAAGTTTAAAAGTTCATATTATAAAAGATAATATGGGCATGAACAAAAGATAATGAGAGAATATGGTTATTTGTTTATCTGTCAAAAAGATTTACCATGTAGTGCAATCCAACTGTCTTATTAAAATTCAACAGTCAGTCATGTATTTGGTCTCTCTTGAGTCCTTTCTAATAACAATAGCTACAGACTGAAAAATGCAAACTGAAGAAAAAATACACCACAGTTTTTAATACACTCTGATCAGAAGTTACAAATGTAAACAGCACTAGAAATAATTGCACATTTTCCAGACTCTTTTTTGGCAGTTGTAAATAAGAATTGATCAATATGAATCTGATTTGGGGGGGCTCAAATACATGATTAATTTGACATGAATCTAACAAAGCACTTTGTTAAGCAACTAAAACCCAGACAAATTATGCTTCCTCCATCGTATTTTTATGCATTCATAAATTAAATAATAAATTATATAAATTGTTTGGATTTTTAATTGTGCTGCAATCAACCTTTTTCACTGAGAGCTAGGTTAAACAGTCCCTACATGACCTGGCTTCTGCATCACTCAGTCTGGTGATCAGTTTCTTGCCTCTTATGTTAGTTGCCACCAAGGTGTTTAGGCAAACAGAGGGCTCATTAACACATGAGTTCTAGCAAAAGTCTTTCTTCTGGGTGTGGCAATTGCTGATTCAGCATAAGGAGGGAATGGTGCAATCAATCTTGAAATAATCTTTGTACGAAGGCCATAATTTGTCCACGTGCAAAATGTCTAAATTGCTTTAGGCCTCTATTTCCACCGAGAAACAGGCTATAGGAACTTCTGCAATAATACTTACTTGGTTTTCCACAGCTACTTTGGGAATTTTTCTTTTTCTTTTTTAGAAAAATATGTTAAGTTTAGATGTATGGCTTAGAAGGGGAATTTCCCCATCATTCTTCCACTGTCTGATTCTCTATAACCCTCTCATGCCTTCAGATCTCTAGTTTAGATTTGCCCTTCTTCAATGCGTTGAGACCCCTGTTCTGAGTCTATAGGAATTAACAAGTATAAGATGCCCTAGTGGAGTCTAACTCCTGGACAGGCAGATCCACATATGTAGCTTTCTTGGCATAATATACAAATGCTTCAACACTGCCTTCTTCCAGGATGTTCTCTCATCTCAGTCTGGCCCTGTGATATCTCAGTGGTCTCCCATCCTGTTTAGCTTTTCGAGATTAAAGTCCAAGCCTGCTAGAATAGCCTTTATTGCTAGCCTCTGGGCAGTTTAAAAAGAGCCCGCCACTAGTACAGGCAAGCCAGAACACACGCTGAATACTTTTGCGAGTTTCTCACTACTGTATTTCTTTGCCATTATGGATGGGTGAATTTCATTTCAGGTTCCGCGGAAAAGGAGCCTGCTCTGACCCCCGCACATGCTCAGTGCAAACCGTTGGGGACAGCCGACGCCGACGCCCCCGAGGCGTCGTTTAAAGGTGCGGCAAGGCCCGGACGCTCTTCGTCGTCACGGCGGAGCAACGGATTTGCGGGCTCGCTCGTCGCAGGCCCGCCCGGGAGCGTTTCGCGGGGTGGGGCAGAAGGAAGTGGTAGCGAGGCCTGAAGAAATTCCGCTCCGGCCTGCAGGACGCAAACCGTTTAAAGAGGGCTGGCCGCGGAAGAACTTCTCTTGTCGGCCTCTTTCCAGGAAAGTAACCGAGAGAATTTCCTCTAGGTAAAAAGAGCCGCTAAAACTGCGATTCGCATTGGAGACTTGGGGGAAAGGCGTTGAACTCGGCTGCCCGGTTTGCTTATCTCTTTAATTGCAGTGACGCACGGATTGGTGGTTCGTGGCAGCAGAGGGAGGCTGGGACAGTGTAAAAGGCCTCTCCCAGAGAGTTTGAAGGGAGAGTTGTGAGCATCTGCCTCCCCGCGTCCGGATTCCTTTCCTGCCCTTGCAGCCGTTTCCTTCTCCTCCTCTCAAAGGCTCTCCATCGCCAGGGGAGGGGTGCCGGGAGGCTGTTGAGTCAACCCAGGCAGGGCAGCACTTCAAAGTTGTTCATTCTGTTTCTCCCCGGATTTCTTGCAGCTTTTTCAGCGTTTCTCCCTGGCCAGAAGTCTCAGAGCAACTACCCCTTCCAGGTACAACCATCTTACGTCTCTCTGTCCTGTCCTAATTCCTGGAGGTGCTGCAGATCAGATTGACATAGCCCTGCCTTAGCTGATTGTCAGTTTGCTGTTGCTTCCGTTTTAGGGGTTGTGGTATGAATACTTATGTATTCTGGTGATAGAGATGACCTGGTGCCTTTGGCACCTTGAAAACACCTAACTCTAATGGGACGTGTGTCAGTCACTTGTGGAGCCCACTCCAGCATTTGCACTCTGCAGTACTGTGTGATTGAGATAGATAGAAAGAAAAAAAAGTTTGGGGTCCTGTGCAGTGTACTAAATCACCTCACAGTTCCTTGCTGGACAGGCACAGGAGAGAAATGGGAGGAAAGTTTAGGGCTGCCTGGTTGGGATTCCCCATCCTGGTGTCCTGACAGGGCTGCTGTTTTCTGAGTAGTTGTATCATTGCATTAAATGGGGGAGTGCCCCCCAAATAAACATCTGGCAGGATGAGAAACTCAACAAAGTTACTACTTTCTCACTCTGACTGATTATAAACTGGCAAGGTACTTACTTTCTACTGCTTAAGATTGCTGTTCTTATTCTTTTTTTTTAATATGGAAGCTAGCTTTTGGTTTTTCTAAAACTTCTTGACTACACTGCAGAGAATAGATGCAACCTATTATGTTTTATATTACAACCATCTTATGTTTCTCTCTGTCCTGTCCTTATGTTACCATGTGCATCTGTTTGCTTGACATTTTGAGTCAGCCTCTTTGTAGTAGTGTTGCTATAAAGTAGGGGCTTATCTGAATCCATTGATAGGAGTTGCATTGTCTGACATGAAAGATCTCCACTTCTCTACCTCCTTTTAATTTTCTTTTTAAATGAGCATTTATAGTGCAAAATGATATATGTACTCTTAACATGCTATGATATCTTGGACTAACACTGATGCATTCAGAAGACTGAGTAGGCAATTAATGTAAAAAAAAAAAAAATAGGATGAATCATGGCCCTGGATAATTTCTGGGTAAAGTTGATTCTCCAGTGCTTAATTTTTTTCTTTTTAAATTTATTTTTTATTATATTTCAAATTTGTCACTGCCCATCTCACTACAGAGTGACTCTGGGCAGTTTACAGTAAAAACAGAATAAACATGAGTTAAAATAGATAAATATTAAAATATGCTAAAAAAAAAAAACTTCCTATATGATACTTCCATGAGGCTGATGTTAATTAGGTGTTAATAAACTCAGGGTGCATCGTCAAGGTGCCGGACATCCCCAGGGTCAAATATTGGTGTTTAACCAGTTTTTTTCTTTTTTGGTGCCTTCAAGTCAGCATTGACCTCTGCTGACTGCCTGGACAAGTCCCTGCAGTTTTCTTGGCAAGGTTTTTTAGGAAGTGGTTTGCTATTGCCTGCCTCCTAGGGCTGAGTGAGAGTGACTGGCCCAAGCTCAGCCAGCTGGCTTCATGCCTAAGGTGCAACTATAACTCAGTCTCCCAGTTTCTAGTCTGGTGCCTTAACCATTACACCAAACTGGTACTATTTTTAATAAGTGGTTAAACTTAAAAACTATTAAATTAAGTACTTAAGATGAGTAGCTGCTAACTTCCCCATAAACTATAGAATAGCTTTCTTAAGACAGCCAGCAATTATGTTGCAATAGTGTATTTCTGTTTATAGAGTTCATTGCTCCTGGTTTTTTGTGGGAGTGGTCTGTGGAATGTAGGGCCCCCTCAACCAGATAACCACAAGATGGAAGCAAAAAATTACAGAAAATTCTTTACTTCCATTTAGGGGTCATCTGAATATTTGTAGCCTGGAAACAGACACACTTCCTTTCTCCCTGGGCAAGTAGTTTTCTAGTATTAAGCATTTCCTTCTCCTGGACCCATTTGTACCACATGAAGGACCCAGATATTCTCACTCCCCATCATTTAGCTTGCTTTTGTATGCTTGCGGTAGGATATAAATTCACAGAGTTGGGAACTCTTTCCACTTCCCTCACTTTGTGCCAACGTTCTACTTTTTTCCGCATAGGCCCTGTTTTTGTGGGCCTCTCTAGAGTCTCATTTCAAACTCAGAAGGCATAAAGAAAGCTAACCTCTCAGTGGTTTGGACAATGGAGTTGACCAAGAGAGTCAGTTCTCAGTGTCAAAGAAGGGGGGGGATTATTAGATAGAAAGTGTTTGATATTATTCATTAAATCTTCATTCATTTAATATTAACGTTAATAGTTTTTAATTAATTTTAACTTAATTGCAGTTTCATCTCAATTCAGATCACATTTTGGTTCTGGGCCTACCCCTTTTGCAATGGGGGCCTAAACAAAGATCACTCTCATGGGGGGAAAAGGCAAATCATATTTCTCTGCATATGTTCAACTTTTGCCTTTAGAACTCTGTAATTCAATTATCCTTCATTAGCTTTAGTTATAAGACTTGGTGGCCACCTGGCTTCTCCTGATCCTTCAGCCTCTCCTTCCTTGCATGGGAAGGAGCATGAGAGCTGCCTGAGCATGACTGAACAGCAGTGTCCTCCTTCCCACAATCAGCAACGAAACAGGAGTTCTTATCTTTGGAATTACATATGAATCTGGAAGTGGTGTTCACAGTTCCCTTACTTTTTTGCCCATTAAGTTCTGTAAATCATATTCCTTAAAGCAAGTAGAATACTGTTCCATGGGTGGGATGTTTAGGTCAACTCATTATCTAGGAGTTGACATATGGTTTATTGTACTATCTTTATGTATGCTCTAGGTTCTGAAACATGGACAGCCTCTCTGCAGCGAATACAGACTTTGCCCTCAGCCTCTTCAAGAAGCTTAGCACAAATGATCCTACCAAGAACTTGTTTTTTTCTCCCTTGAGTATATCTTCTGCGCTGCTCATGGTCTCTTTGGGTGCCAGAGGTAACACAGAGACTCAGATGTCAAAGGTATATCAAGATACATTTTATCAAAAATAAAAATGGGAGTGGGCTTGGAATTAGATAGTCCTTTTAAGACTTAGGGAGCAGCTACTATTTGCTTGGAATGAAAACAGCATGCATAGGAGGTCTAACAGGGATTCAGTCTTCTGTGCCTGTTATTTACTTTTTAAAAGCCATTAATGCAATTGCCAACTATGGAAACAGGGTCTTATTTGGGACAAAAGTCCTTAACTCGAATTCCCAGGGTTTGAAAATCAATTTTTGTGGATCCTAGAGATACCATTCACCACAGTTGCCAAAAATCAGCAGCACAATTTACTAATGTGCTGAAGTAGGAAAAAAATGTCACTTCCTGTGTAAGCCCTAAAATTGACCTTTCTTTCTTTCTTTCTTTCTTTCTTTCTTTCTTTCTTTCTTTCTTTCTTTCTT